GTTAGTTACCAAATTCCATTTGAATCAGATCTCCCTTAATTTTAATTTGGCTATAGTGCCCAAAGAACAAAAAGGAAAACCTGTCAATTCTGTGTATGAAGGAGAGCACTAACAATATACCCCTGAATGATGTTTGAGGATAAGAGGTCATACATTTTGGTTGCTCTTTTTGAAGGCCCCGAGAAGAGATTGGTTACATCTAATGAGTCTGTGTTTCTTGGCTCAGGAGATTATAGCTTTTATCTGTTTTTGTTCCTCAAGAGCTCTCTATATATTTTGCGACTGTGAGAGCATATGCTTGTTCTCTGCAACTGTGTAACACGGTCAGACTGGAATAGCTACTTACTTTCTCCAGACAGTGTGGAATTCATCTCAGATGGAAAATTTTTGAAGATTTCAGTCAAATTAAAGAAGTTTCCCAAACTTTTCAAAGATCGGTCCCCATTCAAGAAAGCAAAATGAGTTGTGCCTTCTCTCCCTCCCCAGTTCTGCAATGTTTTGCTAAAGGTTTACCCATCTTCATTTATGTCTTCTGCACTTTCAAAAATGCTGATTTAAAGGAAACTACCTGATAATTGTGGTGGTAGGTACTGCAGTTGAATTCTGAGTAACCCTGGTTGGTCCAAAGGGATTTATGGAGAATTGAAACTGTTCTCTAAGCACGCCTGCTCTAACCCAGATTCTCAACACACTGAATAACTTACAGTTTAAGTGCACCGTATCCTCTCTATCTTATTATGAGGTTTATCCTCTCTCTCAAAGGAGTGTCACTTCACAAATAAACCCAATGTTGCAAACTCTTGGAAACTTATTGCAAATGATGTTGCCTTTGCTGTGGGAAGTCACTTGATGAAAAAGTCAGTCTTCCCATGACTTGGGGAAAGCCAAATGAGGGAGAGACTTTCCCCTCTGCCCCACAATGCCCTGTAATTTAGGGAAAGAGCACTATACTGGAAGCACAGAAACTGAGTTCTAGTCCTTCCTCTTCTGTTGACAGCTGTGTTCCTCATAACTCTTATTATGAGTCAAGGCCACATACTGGTACATTGGGAAGTAACTTACATCCATCCATTCCAAGATAAGATAATGAGACTTGTCAGAAGGTCACTTTAGTCAGAGCTGGGAATAGAAACAGGTTTCTAATACAACTCTCACCTGCTTTACCCCCACAGCTTTTCAGAAGGAACTTGCTAAATTAGGTACTTTTGTAATTCATACTAACAGTGTGGCTCTGTCACTCTCTAGTGGCTAGACCACAACCAGAAGTTTATTATTCAACTGCTGCTTCCATGCTATGATTTCTGGTCCTCCAGCTCAACAGGTCCCAGGTTCATTTCCTGCAGACTATGCAATCAGGGTGTGTTACATTTCCCGGCAGTGTCTGTAACTCAGAGACCGTTTAATCACAGAGCCAGGAATAGAAACCAATAATCCTCATGCCTTATGTTCCAGTGCTGTTTGACAACTACCTGAGCACTGTGATCTGGACACAGGATAACAGCTTTCTTTCCCTCCGTCATTTACTCCTGTACCTGAAGTGGAAGAGGTTTAGACTAGATATGAAGTTTCTGGATCCAAGCCCTGATCCTGGAATAATTTTTGAAATGATTTTATATTGCAAAATACTTTAGAAGTGATTTGGATAATGTGTTAATATTTGATGATTGCCATTTTTAGTGTTTGTGTTTTGGTTACTCTGAACTGTCCTTTTAAGTGGCAGACTGAGGGCTTGCCTACACAGAGGTTTTTTGCACCAAATTAACTGTATCGGCTAAAAAGCCAGCACATTTAACAGGCACAATCACTAGTGTGGGTGCAATTATATCAGTATAAAAGTGTGTGGTGGTATATAGTCTGTTCAGATAAA